TATTTTAGTTGATTCGGATCTACGATTTTGATATAATACTTATATATGAAATTTCATCAACCTAGCTCAGGGGTCGGCAACCTTTGAGACAGAAGAGCCAAAAGTACAATTTACAAAATTTCCAAGTTTTTAAAGAGCCGCCAACATTTTTATACTATTATTATTAATATTATGATCTTTAATTAGGATTTGGTGTGTGTATATATATATATATATATATATATATATATATATATATATATATATATATATATATATATATATATATATATATAAAACAATGCATGTGTGTTTGTGTGTGTGTGTGTGTGTCTGTTTTTCTTTTATGCATTACTAAACATTTCATCCGATCGTCATGAAATTTGGGAAAATTGTTGAGAATCTTTCTAGGGACGTTTGTGCAATTTTTTTTTTAATTTCGCAAGGGCGGCGCTCCAGGGGGGTAGAGGTGCAATTTTTCTCTATATACGGTAAAAAAAAAAGTTGTATGCGGTTCCTCACAGTTTATCCGAGTTCCATGAAACTTTGGAGAGTAGATGAAAATACTCCCTAGAAGATTGCTACGAAAAAAAAAAAATTCTTATGGGTAGTGTATTTTTTGTCAATATACGTTTTGGCGCCCAAAGTTCCAGAGCGGCTATGTTAGTACTTGGCATTCGTCGGGCGTTCTATATAGCGGGTAAGGGGTACTACTATATTCAGCGGCAAAACTGCAACAGACGCAACCGCCGGCGCCTCGTCCATTGGGTGACCCTGCGAGCACAATAGCGCCTACATTGTTTTTTTTTTTTAAAGGCTGTACACTATAGACACGACGGGCAACAATACGTTCATTTTAAACAGCGCGATAGGCTATGGATACAATAGGTTGTTATAGTCGCTCACTAAATTGAATTAGGCGCGTCCTCCGGCGTCACTACAGGGTGCGATATGGCACCCAGGACTATCCCGTGAGGACTAAGCGCCTACCTTAGTTTTAAGGAGCACCCTACAATACTTCATTAGATAATTAAACCGAGCTAGGGGCTACGCGACGCCCCGGCGGTAGTGTTATCGGATTCACGAGAGCGCCACTTACCGTCGGTGAGTGATTAACGGTAATATTACGGTGAGTTATTAACTTACACTCAAGGCTTTCACACAGCACGCCATGGTGGTGGGCGCTAGTGCCCCGATAAATATCATCCAAACACAGGTATTCTTTATATTTAAATAACTCAGTTTTAGATAACAAGGAAGTAGGTCTACATTGAAATATCGAGTCACTAAATATTCTAATAGAATAGCCCGTGTTTACTGTTTATATTTATTATTATATCGTTCATTACTGAGTGTTGCAGACTAATACTTTTATGAGCATTAAAATTAAAATAAAATAATTATTTATATTAATTGTGCATCGAGCTGATGAGCCGCATCTTGACATCAAAAGAGCCGCATGCGGCTCGCGAGCCGCAGGTTGCCGACCCCTGACCTAGCTGTAACGGTACTGAAGTTATCGTGTTTACAGACACTCACACACAAACATACGGACAAGATTGCAAAATTATGTTTTTCCGTATCAGTGGGGTGTCTGTGAAACGATAACTTGAGTACCGTTACAACTTTTGAGTGATTTCCGATAACCGGAAGTGGTACTTTTTCTACTTTGAAGTTTTCAAAAGCCTATAACTTGAGTACTATTTCAGTTAGATAAATGAAATTTCACATGTAAGTAAAATATCTAATTTTCTACCTTCTGTCATTTTTTGATTAATTTCCGGTGACCGGAAGTAGTAATTTACGCTATTTCCGATTTCTCAAAAAACTAATGTAAATTTATAAAGTACTAATAATATTTCGCACAATTATGCACATTTTATTTGGCGTTCACTTGGTGTGCAATTCTTTTTTCTACGAGATTTATTCTATTTTTAAAAGTTTAAGTATTTAAAATGGATTAAAATTCATGTCTATATCCTGAGTTACCACCCCCTGTTTTTTATATAAGAATATTCGAGAAAATTTAGGGGAGATCACTCCCGGTTTATTTAAAAATATTTTTGAGAAATTGCGCACCAAATGAACGATCACATATCTAAATCTATAATGGGCCACGTTCGCACATCTCTCTCACTCTCTCTCTCTCTCTCTCTCTCTCTGTCCGCAAAAAATTTTCGCCGGACATCACGTCAGAATCGGCAGCGATATATGAAGAACTTTTTACGGACTTTTGTTGAAAATAATATGCTAGATGTTTTAAATGTATAACCACAATTTTATTTAAAGAAGAAAAATAAAAAATAAAGGCGTATTCGAATGTAGAGAAACAGTATTATTTATGCAACCGGAAAAGCATGTATATATGTGAAGAAGAACGCATAAAACTGTGACGTCACTATTTATACATTAACTAATGACGTCATCTGCCGTGTTTTCAATAAAAAGAAATGAACTATTTCATTCAAATTTGATTTAGATCTACGTACACTATGAAATGTATACAATACAATTTTTCCGGCCTAAACTCATTAAATTTATTTATACAAAATCTTTGTTTGGAACTGGCTAATTTGGGTTAAAAAATTAATTTGAAAGAATAGGCATATTCGCGTAAGTTAAGATTTTAAAATACGTCTTTCATTCTCCGTATGATATAAGGTGCCTAAATAGCGGAGATGTTAGTGTACTATAAACCACGCAGGTGGTGCGGGTTCGAGACACACCAAGTCAACTTGGTTAATGTATTTTTTTTTATTTTGCTCGGGCTAAACTTAAAAAAAAAATTCTATTAGGATTCTAGATCTAGATCTAGATTGTCGGGTGTCCGATAAGGCACTTCCCGGCGCCGCAGGCGCTTCAAATTTGGCAGGATCTTGCCTTGGGGAGACAGAACACGGGGGCCAGTTGGCCAAAAGTCTACTGACCTCGACTGACCGGTGCCTTATATGAGCTATAAATCGAAAAAAAATGTCCACGGAGGAACCTCTTCATAACTCTTGAGGTCGTAGACCGACCCTCGGGCGAATTAATTAAGCATTCAAATTCTCAATGTTTTCGAAAGCCTAAGCGAAGCTGGGCAGCATGCCTAGTAGGTATATATAATAGAGTGGAAAATTGTAATTTATAAAGAAAAAATTAATTAATTAAAAACAATATTTAAAATCCAATAAAGTAAAATTTTGTGTCATATTGCATTGTCATTTAAGTATTGACCTACATTAAAAGTTTTACAGAAATTGCTCCTGTAGAAGTAATAAAATGTTTCTTTGCAAGGTACTGCCCATGACAGACCATAGACAAAATAATCAAGTTAAATAGAAGCTTGTAATCATCATATTGTGAAGGTTTTCGAGAATCATATACAGAGTAAAAATGTCCTTTCCGGTTATTGGAAATCGCACAAAAGTTGACAGAAATCTAAATAGGGCCTACAGGAGCTAATACTTATATAATTTGTTCAGCTAACTGAAACGGTGGTTAAGTTATCATGTCTCCACAGAAAATAAGTACCATTTTTTTGTGACCAAAAAAATAAATAAACCGGGAGTGATCTCCCCTAAACTTTCTCGAATATTCTTATATTATTAGTACTTTATAAATTCACATGCGTTTTTTGAGAAATCAGAAATAGCTTTGATTAATACTTCCGGTCAACGGAAATTACCCACAATTTGATAGAAGGCAGAAAATTATATCTTTTACTTACACATGAAATTTCAATTATCTATCCGAAATAGTACTCAACTTATAGGCTTTTGAAAAATTGAAATTAGAAAAAGTTCCACTTCCGGTAATCGGAAATCACTCAAAAGTTGATACGAATCTACAAATGATATCATACTTATATATAAAATTTCATCAACCTAGCTATAAAGGACTCAAGTTATCGTGTTTAAGGACACACACGCACACATACACACACATACACACGGACAAGATTGCAAAAATTTTGTTTTCCGACTCAGGGAGGTGTAAAACGTCGAGATTTGCAAAAATCTCGATTTTTTTTGCACGATTACAATACTTTTTCTATATATTCTGTATATACGAGAAAGTAAAAATTGATAGTAACTTGCGCTCATATACTTAATAGCGAAATTTGGTCCACATAACTTAAACGGTACTCAAGTCATAGGATTTTCAGAAACCAGACGAGGAGAAAGTACCACTTCCGGAAATAACTCAAAAGTTGAGAGAAAACTAAATTTGATTCAATACTTAATTACAAAATCTCTTCAAACTAACTGAAACGGTTCTCAAATTCATCCTGTTTTCAGCCAGGCAAACAGACAGACGGACAAGATTGCAATAGTATGCCAGATCTCCAAAAACGGAAAATTCATCATCATCGTTTTTTTCCACGTGTATGCCCAAGACACATGGAGCAGATAAAGTAGAGTTCATTTGCTTTAATGACCATGGTATACTGGGGGGGGGGGGTAGTGTGGTCAGCACTATGGCCAGCCTACTTAGTTACCCTAACATTCGTTGGCAGTGTTGGCTGTCATAAGCTATAGACCTACTACCCAACCATTCTGTCCAGTAGCGTAGCGAGGGGGGGGGGGGACATATGTCCCCGGGCGCCGACCTTAGGGGGCGCCAAAATGGGTTGGAAAAATAAATAGAAAGGTTGAGGGGGGTGCAAATCGAAAGTTTGAGGGGGGATGCAAATGGAAATCTCGAGAGGGGGGGGGGGGTGCAAATCGAAAGTTTGAGGGGGTGGGGTGCAAATCAAAATCTCGAGGGGGGGGGGGGTGCAAATCGAAAAGTTTGTCCCCGGGCGCCGGGAAGGGTCGCTACGCCTCTGATTCTGTCCCCTAAAAATGAATATTACCAATCAAATTACGTACAATCATCAAGTAAAATAGATCTTTTGTAACAGAGTTGAAAGAAGATAACAGTTTGTAGTTTGAAGTATGTTAAATCATAAAGTAATATATCTCTTATAGCTAAGCTCTTACCAGTTAAAATATAGCCGTTAGGTTCTGACACATACACTAGACAATAACCCTCTTTACCTGAATGGTTCCCGTGCATGGCGAATTGCTGTTCCCGGTCATTGTCTTCAGAACTTGAAGAAGTATCTTCCTCATCGTCAGCTATGTACCAAGTGGACAATGTGTACAATTAGATGTATTGCATAGAATAAACCGGAACCGAAACGTAAACTATAAACAAAACTGGAAATTTAAGCGGAACCTGATTTTTAACAGGAACCTTAACTTTTAACCCCAACTCAACATAGACCTTAATCTAAGCCTAAGCCGGAAACAGGAAAGTTAATTGGAACCGAAACCTTAGAACCAAAACTTTAACCACAACAGTAAGAAATACCGGAAACAGGACCTTTAGAAAGAACTGGAACCTGAATTATAACTGGAGGTTGAAAGGAAAACAAAACGTCACTCTCTCTCTCTGTATAGTCGATACCTACATATTGACTGTACATTCAAACTAAATCTAGTGGTAGAGTTAAAACCTAAATCTTGCAAACATGAATTGAAACTAAAACGGATATAAAACAGGAAAGGCACTTTAACTCTGAGGTAATATCCTTATCCACACCGTGGCGAAGCACGGGTATAAGCTAAAATTTGCCTTTATTATAAATGAGGTCATTAATTTGTGCAAGCTGAGTTCTATTTTTAATTCCATAGATTATAGAAACCTAAAAGTAAACAACACATGCCATCCAGTACTTGCATCGCATTGTCTTATTTCAAGTAATGAAGTAGGGATTATTTATATAACAAAAAATGTTTGATTGTTGGTAAAGGTTTTTCTCTTTCGCACACGTTAACAAAAGAACATGAAGAAAATAGTAAACATGCACATTGCTAAAACAAATTAAATTGATCAATGTCTGGCTTAGATTCTCAGAAAAAAATGGGTACATTTTAATAACAGTTGAGCCAATAAAACGAGTTAATTGAAATGCTTAATGACCATGCTAGTGGAGGTTATTTAAAACGAAATTCAACTCACACTAAATGTTGCTATTAAAAGTAATATTTATTATGATCTACCCTCAAATGTTTCCATTCCTACCACACTGATTATTATGTTAAGACTTATAATTAAAATATATTAAGGTTAAGATAATTTACATTCTTTCCTGACGAGTCGGTACAGAGTTTTATGGTTGTTTTCTTTATTACTGTGATCTCTTAAAATCACTAAATTTCTTTTTCGTTTTTCGGTGTTATTTAAAGAATGGTCAAATTAGATTTAAGTGAATGAATAAAGTTAATGAACTAAAGAATTCTTTATGTTTGTGTTTCGCTGTATTGCATATCTTCACTAAAATAATAACATTTAATGAGCGACACACGCTTTTCTTTAACACGCTTGCCCTGTCATGCTTTTGTCTTTGTTATTGATCGAAAATAGTGAGCACAATTTCGACCACTTCTAACGAGCCAATTTCTTTGTAGCATGGTCAGGATCCGATAACAATGTAATATGTAATCGAATTCCAGTTAATGGAAGCTTAATTGATTTTTATAGAATTAATTAAAATGTTCCTATACTTAGTACTATTTACCACGCTATTGTGTGCACATAGTTCGTGTTTATTTGGTGAGCAATTGTTTTTAGTCATGCGATTCTATTGTATTAAAAAAAATTAATTATTGAAATAAAAAAATATTTTAATACAAGCTTTGTACACATTACAATAGGCTTGGAATGTTGTTTCCAAATGGTTGTCGCCAGCAAGCATGTTATTATTTTTAAATGAATATTTTATAACACTCGTGAAATATGTAAAAAAAATCATGTTTTATTAAGGCTAGAAATATTCAACCACTAATTACTAGTAATATAATAATAATAATTTAGCTATCACTTTTATTTTTTTGTAACACGTATGGTTACCAGCCAATGGGGGGGGGGGGGGGGGGGGGAGAATGAAGTTTTAATTAATTGGGTTGCGGTCCCTGTGGGTTAGGGTTAGGGTTAGGTTTTTTTTTTCATGCTCTTGTGAGCGATGTTACCTGTGTCCCATGTCATGGGACATGGGACTGTGGGTAGTTTCGTGCCTAGCCGTGTCAGTCACACGCAAGGCTGCTGTCTGTGGACACAGTGACGGTACCAAGATGTAGACCTAATGAAGGTAGTGTGGTTATATAAATTATGTTTATTGTTAGAATACTTATTTGTGTATTCCTGCTAGTGCTGCATATGCACACTAGTTAGGTTGAGTATTTATTTAAGTATTTATTTGTTGTAATACTTATTGGTACTTGTTGGCAGTACTGTGTACTGGCCGAAACATATTTTATTGTACCAGTGTATGTTGTAGCCTACACGTGGTTTTATCATGAATGTAACTTTTTCTTTACATTTGTTTTATGACTACAGTTTCTTTGTTTCTTTTTTCTTCGGTTTTTTCTCTCTGTTTTGAAATCGTCGTACTACTGTGTTCTGCATCGCCGTCATGGCTCGATGCAGTGAATAAAGCGAGTACTTGACAACAACTGTCGGTGTCAGTGTGTTCTAAATCTCAGGGTCAGCCCGTCTTAACCACAACACCTCAGTGGGTAAAAGCATCCCCACTGAGTGAGGGTTACATTTTATTTGGATTAGTAGAGACAGGGTGTTGTGGTGATATGGGATTTTATATCAATTAATGTAAATAAACTACTAGGCTATATCCCATTGACTGCTAATGTGTAATTCATCATGGAAAACAACTGTTGCGACTTTCATTGTTTTACTTTCCCCGAGGGGTTGAGGGCTGTTTTTTTTTAAATATTTATATTCAATACAAAAAATCTGAAAAAAAATGTAATAGATGGTTCCCAAACAACTTTAATTTTTAAAAATGTAACCATAATTATCTTTTTTAAAGAATTTAGTATGAATACATAGACTTTTCAAGCCTATTATGCACTAAAACGGAGAAAATAAATTATTTTCTTTAAATATTTAATAATACACTACATTGGGTTATTAAACAACTATTTTTAAGATAATCCAATATTTGGCTAGAGCAATTACAGCAATCCTTTGTTTCTACATTTTTAAACTGGATTTAGACCACGTGTTACTTAGTCTTTTTCATTCCATTTCAAGACTTGCTTTACTATTAAGTCTATTCTATAACTAAGCTGCGTCTGAGCCGGCGTCAGGGGTGGCAAACGGGGCTGTCGCCCCAGGCCCCGCGCTTGAAGGGGCTCCGCGCTTCAGCACTGTCGTTGTTATCTGAATTAGCTTGTAAACTTAAATAACTGTTGCTGAATTCGATTGGGAAAAACTTAATGGTCGATCTCTCGAATGCCGACGTTGTTGATTGCTATAACTGAGACCACGGTTAATGTTAGTGAATTATCACCAACCTGAACTGGGAAAGGCCGTAATTCGATACAAAAACAGTGTCACACCTCATTGGACCTGAGGTGACGGGAAATAGTTGGACGCGAATTAGCCCCCCGACCCGTAATGGGATGTAAATTTGGGAAACACGTAAAGAGATACCATATTGTATGCGGACCGATGAAGACGTCCTTTTAGTGAGCAGACGGGATGCCTGTAGTAGATAGTAACCTGTTGAACGCTAGTTCTGACTGGCTTGTTGTAGTTGTCGCATATGTACTGGTCTTGGTATAGCAAAATTAACATTCAGTCGCATGTGGGGATCTACATCAGTGGGGCATTCAACAGAGTGATTTATAATTATTATTTTTTGGGGAAGAAAGTTAACCCTTTATTTACGGAATTATGTTCTGAATGAGATTTTTACTTAAACAATGTGTTACTATATTGCTTTTGGCACATTCAAAGCATATATCGAAGGAAATTTCGTTTCATAAATTTTTAATGGCCCAAACAGATATTGGTACTTATAAGTACCGTCAGTAAACTAGGACATTTTTTTTCAAAAATTTTTTTTTTACAAAACAGGAACAAACGATACAATTTATTAACTAATAACATGGCAATCATTATAACAATCACTTTTTGTAGTTTTCACACATAAATACAGCACAAAAGTATATTTTGAGTACGATTTTTACTGGATTTTCTATCGGAACACATCTTAGACCTCAAACACAGCAAAAGTAGTCGACATGTCATGCTCCCTCAATCTTGTCTGTGGTCTTTCTGGTGTAGCAACGGTTGCCGGAATGAAAATGCTTTTTCTGGAAGCTTCCAATAGCTAGTCCAATGAGCCGCATTAACAAACAAAAGCCTAGTCATTCGGCACGCAACTACAAGTAATACTAGTATAATTGTAGCCTACTAGAATGTTATGACAAGTCTACACTACAGTGCAAAGTTCATAAATAGAAGTGAGCTCAATGTGTTTAGGATAGCCGTAGTGGCCTACTCCTTTCTGTTTACTGATTAAAATTTACCATATAGATCAATACTATATGCAAGAGTATGGACTATTACTAGCCTGCATGTATACATTACGTAAATGCTAGTTGTTGTAGGCAAGACAGTTTAGTGCAGTAAATATAACTAACAAATTAAATCTTACAACTAGAACTAGGCTTTGGTATACAAATGAAGTAAACTAAACCTTGTAAACGAGCCTTAAAAATGATACCTTTATTCTTGTTAATTTTTTACTGCTGGAAATTAACATGTAATTACAATATTTCTTAGGTAAACCATATGCTAAACTTCTTATAAATGTGTAAATATCTTTTTTTGAGTACATTTCGATAATTAATTATCAAGACAATATTTATGTAACTCCACATAAAAAATCTGCCATTTTCTAAAAATCTTTAAAAAATGACCGTGTGCCCTGACGGTACTTATAAGTCCACTTGTAAACATCGATCTAATACAAAGACACTTTGATTAAAATTGTATAACTAGAAGTTAAATGCGTTTGCTTGACTATTGAAGTTGCAAATAAAAAATATTTGGGGTTGAAAACTTGAAAAATAAGGTAAAACAAAGTGAAATCAAGAACGTATGTGAGAAATGTACAGAAAAATTGTGAACTTCCGATATAGCAAGACATTGAAAATGGCGTCACACCAGTAATTTTCAAAAAACAATGATACCTCCGACTACCCGCGACTCAGGGGAGATAATACTATTAATTACTCCAATAATTTTTAAAATTCGTATTAAATTAAAAATAATGCAGGCATTTAATTAAAGTGGTACTTATAAGTACCGTCAGTAGATAAAGGGTTAATAGTGTTGTTATGCTGTGTCTTCTTAAGGATTCATCAGTTCCAAGACGTATTGTCCTCGTCGCACAAATTTTATGGAGGTAGAGGAATCGTGGAAGGCAATGAAGGGTAGTGATTTAGTAGACATTGATATTTCCCTAATAAACGCGGTTTGGTTTTCAAATATTGTATGGATTCTAAACAGATTTTTAAGTCTATACTGTTTTGATACATCAGGCCGAGTCCGCTTTATTGTAAACTTGTCCTGATTTCTCACACGTCTAAAATACCGACTTTCACGGCAGCCGTTGCGAAACTCATAAATAAGGTGTAGCTGGCTATCACTTCCTAATTATAGACACAAACCTTCTCTTGTGAGACCGCGATCATGACAGGTAATGTAATACGTGGACGCTCTATAAACACAAACCTTCTCAGTAACGTAGTACTCGAACTTAGTGACCCTTTCCTTAGGGTAAAGCAGCCCGTAGCCATAGATTTAAATGCACAGTTACCCTTTACTTCACCCACCAACTGCCACCCGCCCCAAAAATCCACCCTACAGAGCGTTCATGCTTACATTGAAGAATCATTTCTTTTGGATATCCATAAACATAGAGTTTGTTTTCACGATTCGTAAACAGTGTATATTCACGATTCAAGCAAAGTCCAAAAGCTATCAATCTTTTTCTATATATTTTCAATTTTAATTACTTTAGTTTTGTTGATTTTGTAATTTGTCTAAAATTCTGTGCTTACTAACACTCTTTTTTTTAGATACATCTCAAACGCATGACTTTTATATTAACTATTAGTCATTAAAAAAAACTTTATAGTCCTAATTTTCGGCATGTAATTGAATTTTCTTTAGTGATTTGGTATCGACTACATAACTGTCAAAAGTGATTTAATATATTAGTGAAGAAAAATCAGCAACTAAGAACATTGGGTTAAAACATTGGCTTATATATATATATATATATATATATATATATATATATATATATATATATATATATATATATATATATATATATATATATATATATATATATATATACATATATATATATATGTATGTATATATATATATATACATACATATATATATGTATATGCTATTTATGTAATGGAAAGAAGCAGGCCCTACGCGGAAGGTTGGCCCTAGGCCCCGCGTATTCCTATCGCCGGCTCCGGCTGCGTATTTTAGGGGGGATCAAAATGCAACTTTAGTAATGTGACCTACTTAGGTCTGTTTGGCTTTATATATATTTAATCTCCTGAGTTGTATTTGTCCTTGGGAGAATTGTCAGTTCACTGGTACAACCCGGTCAACTGAACGCTGTCACATCATGTGATTGTAAGTTTAATCCCTGGCAGAACCTCAACCAATGGACTTGCGACCGTGAGGATCCTTGACTGAACCTCAACCAATAGTCGTAAGACTTTTGAGTTATTTCCCCTGACTCTGAGTTGTATTTAATCACGGGATTCTCAAGTCCAGGCCGCCAGATTGACCTAGGGACCAGGAGAGGTGTGCCTGTGGTTAGGTACGCCATTTTGCAGTATGGTCATTATGTGACATGATTTCACCTTTTGTATAAGGAATTATGTGACTAGTTGTAGTTTACTGAATTTGTGTTCTGGTGTATTATTACACCTTTTTGACTATCGGTGATAGTTTAACCTGTATAAGGATTTCTATTGTTGTAGAGGCAAATTGTCTCTCCTTGGTCTTTTGTTGTAATTATTATGAGGCCATTCAGTTGTGTGTAGTAATGATTTATCACAGCTGTGATGTATTGTGATTTTTCTCAAACTGTAAGTTGGAGTTGAGTTTATTTATATTACACTGAGAATCTGTACATTTTGATCTTACCTAGTGTCATTATCTTGTACATAAATTAAAAAGGTATTCATAGTTTAAGGCGTGTGAGTCTCTTTGATTTGTCGTGATTTACCCCTAGACTGCATTAACGAGCTCACGGCAAGTTGTTGAGATTCCGTTACAACGTCTTCTATCGGTACCATACCAAACGAACCTGGGGCGTCCGCTTCCTCCGCGACTGTCGGAGGTCGGACATAACAAGTGAGGGCTCGACCGGTATTTTGATTTATGTGCAAGTTTGGCATTAGTTTGAGTTTGTGATTTAGAGTTTGGTCAGTAGTTCGAAGAAGTTGAACTAGTTCTTGAGTAGTTGTTTTTGTTATCAGTTGAAGGTAAACATTGTTACTTTGTAGCTATGGAGGCTTTGTTGTTAAGTCCTACTGTGGAAGCAGTTGAGAACTTAAGTAGGAAAGAGTTGATAACAGTTGTCAAAAAGTTAAACCTGGACTATATTGTTACTCAGACCTCTAGGGTGTTGAAGGACAAAGTTATTGTTTACTTCATTAATGAAGGCATGTTAGATGAGAGTCTCCTTTCTGAAGTTTTGGCACGGGAAGTGAAAATTGTTGATAGGGAGTTTGAGGCCAGACTAAAGTTAGAAAGAGAAGTTCAGATGAAGCGGTTAGAATATGAGTTTGGTATTATTGACAGTAGTTCGAAGTCAGAAGGTCCTTCTCAGTTGTCTGTGGCCCAAACATTGGCCCAGTTTTGCAAATTAGTCCCTAAGTTTGATGAGTCAGATCTTGTCGTATTTTTTTATACATTTGAGAACATGGCTGAAAGTTGTCAATGGCCTAGTAACGTAGTCACAACGTTACTAAGCACTGTTTTAATTGGTAAGGCTGCCACCACATACCAGGCACTCTCTCGCGAAGTCCAGTCAGATTACAAAAAGGTCAAGGCTGCCATTCTGAAGGCTTACGAAATAACTCCAGAAGCCTACAGAATTAAGTTCAGAAAAATTAGGAAACAACAGAACCAAACCTATGTTGAGTTCCTTTTTGAAAAAGAAAAAGTCTTTTCAAGATGGCTCCATTCTGAGAATGTCGACGACTTCGACAAACTCAGAAGTCTGATACTAAGAGAAGATTTCCTCAACGCAGTACCTGAAGAGATCAGACTACACATCTTGGATAACCGAATAACAGACATCAAAAGGGCAGCAGAATCAGCTGATACATACGAGCTGGTACATAAGAAGTCACAGGGTTCTGGTACCAAATACAATCCGGTACTACCTCTCATCAGCAGCAATCCCCCTGCTGGCCAGTTGCTGAGATCTCGTCAATCAACACCGATACCCAGAGTCACAGCCAGGCGACTGATCTGCCACTATTGTTCCAAGCCTGGGCACATCATCAAGAACTGTTTCCTGCGACAGCGAGACAACAGAGAGTATGTACGAACATCATCTCGTAACGCTCTCCCCCATCAAGCAAGTCCAAAGGTGAACCTAGCCCGTCGTGATGTCACTACACCAGCGTGTCCACAGGGAGGTAACGAAGTGACCACCACTTTCGTCCAGTCATCTTATGACTATCCTCTTCACCAACCGGGTACATCAGCAGCAACCAATTGTGAAGAATCGAGAACTGTTGGCTTCACATCATTCATGACAGATGCTGTCATCAGCAACCCTGGAGACCCAGCATCATCGCGGAACATCGTAGTCCTAAGAGACACTGGGGCTTCTCAGTCACTTTTGCTGAGAGACTCATTGATCATCGCTCCAGAAACCAACACCGGTGATGTCACCATCATTCAAGGAGTGGGAGCTGAACCAACAGTAGTTCCACTACATAAGTTCAACTTGAGACATCAGCTCATCCAAGGAGATGTCATCCTTGGGGTGATAGATTCCATACCTGTCCCAGGAGTACACCTGCTTCTAGGGAACGACTTAGCGGGAAGCAAAGTCCACCCCCAGGAAGTTCAGAACCCTTTCTCTACAGACCCCGACGGTGAAAATGAACTGTTCTTTTGGCCGAGGATGCACAACGATGACACTCGTTATTGCAGACATTGTAAGAACTGTCAGTTGGTTGGGAATCCCAGTCAAAATATTTCCCAAGGCCGATGAGACCGATTCGTGTGCTAGACGAAGCATTTAACAAGATTACCAAGGACTGCGTCACCTACTTCCCAGACCGGAGAAAGAAACAACTGGTTTATCGTGTAAACTCACTATCTCTTTCTCCACAGCTAAGTTTATGTTACATATAAGTATTTCTAGTAAATTTGATGATGCTACTCTTAAATTATTAAATTTCCCATTGTTGACCCAGTTAGACCATCTTGAACATTTATCTTCTAATGAGAATCAGACATTCTCACAGGTAGTTAAAACTTTACCCTCCATTCCTTGGGATGGCAGGTTACTATAGGCGGTTTTGTAAAAAAACTTTTCAGCTGTAGCTGAGCCACTTACTGCCTTATTGAAAAAGGGTGTTGAGTTTGAATGGTCAACTAAATGTCACGAAGCTTTTTTGACCATTAAGTCATTTTTATCTAATGCTCCTGTTATGGCTGCACCAGATTTCAGCAAGCCTTTTAAACTTGCCATTGATGCTAGCAATTTAGCCATTGGCTCAGTCTTATTCCAGGAAGACAACCGAGGGATCGATCATCCAATAGCCTTTTTTTCTAGAAAGTTAAATGAGAATCTAAAGAATTATTCCAATATTGAAAAAGATGCATTAGCTTTAGTCCTGTCCTTACAACATTTTGAAGTCTATGTCACCTCTTCCATCAATCCAGTCATGGTATTTTCTGACCATGATCCTCTTAAGTTCACTACTAAGTTGGGACAGAATAACAATAGAATTTTAAGATGGTGTTTATTTTTCCAAAATTTTAATCTGGTTATTTCCCATATTAAAGGAACTGACAACATTGTAGCTGACTGTTTGTCAAGAATGTAAAACAACTTTTGATGTTCACATTGATCTTGTGAAATTTTTTTGGTTAGTTATAACCATGTTGCAAATGTTATGGTTGATTAAACTGTAGCCTAGTGGCTGGAGTTCCAAGCTTTCAATTAGATCAGAATTGTACAGTCTTTTCAAAACTGATTACTTTTTGAAAATGCCTATTATTTTCAAATGAACCTTATTTAAAGGTGGTTTTGTATAATGTGCATTGAGTTGTTATAAAAATGTATCACATTATTCAGTTGATGTTGTAGTGGGACATTTAAATAAAGGAATTAAGTTGTAAGTTTCCCACATGTTATATCCAGATGGATATGTTTTGTTTCCTTTGCGTAAGGAACTTTGATGTATTATTATTTTGGGAAGGATTGTTTCCCTTTGGTAAATTGTAAAAAGGTGAATTGTTTCCCTTTAATATTTAAGGATGTTTTTTTCCTGATATAGAAATTTTGTTAGTTACTATAATTGGTCATTTTTTGTGTCAGATTTGTTCCATATAGTGATTGCCATTTTTGTGTAACAAAAATGCCTCTCTAAAAGGGAGGGGATGTGACCTACTTAGGTCTGTTTGGCTTTATATATATTTAATCTCCTGAGTTGTATTTGTCCTTGGGAGAATTGTCAGTTCACTGGTACAACCCGGTCAACTGAACGCTGTCACATCATGTGATTGTAAGTTTAATCCCTGGCAGAACCTCAACCAATGGACTTGCGACCGTGAGGATCCTTGACTGAACCTCAACCAATAGTCGTAAGACTTTTGAGTTATTTCCCCTGACTCTGAGTTGTATTTAATCACGGGATTCTCAAGTCCAGGCCGCCAGATTGACCTAGGGACCAGGAGAGGTGTGCCTGTGGTTAGGTACGCCATTTTGCAGTATGGTCATTATGTGACATGATTTCACCTTTTGTATAAGGAATTATGTGACTAGTTGTAGTTTACTGAATTTGTGTTCTGGTGTATTATTACACCTTTTTGACTATCGGTGATAGTTTAACCTGTATAAGGATTTCTATTGTTGTAGAGGCAAATTGTCTCTCCTTGGTCTTTTGTTGTAATTATTATGAGGCCATTCAGTTGTGTGTAGTAATGATTTATCACAGCTGTGATGTATTGTGATTTTTCTCAAACTGTAAGTTGGAGTTGAGTTTATTTATATTACACTGAGAATCTGTACATTTTGATCTTACCTAGTGTCATTATCTTGTACATAAATTAAAAAGGTATTCATAGTTTAAGGCGTGTGAGTCTCTTTGATTTGTCGTGATTTACCCCTAGACTGCATTAACGAGCTCACGGCAAGTTGTTGAGATTCCGTTACAACGTCTTCTATCGGTACCATACCAAACGAACCTGGGGCGTCCGCTTCCTCCGCGACTGTCGGAGGTCGGACATAACAGTAAGATGTTAAAGTTGAATTAAATTAGCATTATATTATAGAATTTTATAAGTTACATGTAAATATCTGTATCTATTCAATCTATACAAAAACCTTACTGATATTGGGTCTGAGATATTTGCGAAGCTCTTGGAGTATCGTTTCTTCGCTCCACGACTTGTCGATGGAAAATAAATTTAAAATATGCTTTACTCGCTTGTTGGCCAGCTGGTGGTTTTTTTGGCAATATTTCAGGCATTTGTTCTCAACAAAGTCTGAACACAAATGCAATGATTTACATTTTTCATTGGAGCAGTTACTGCCATTGTTTCTGTTGTAGTAGATACAGATTTGCGGAAGGGTCATATGATTTCTGGATGCTCGCCTTCGGAAGAGAGTTCGTAGCTCACACTCATCGAGAGCTTCCAAATTATGTTTTTTCAGCAACAAAAAATTATGCTCTGAATTAAACGCATGTCCAAACATGCATTTTCGTTTTCCAGAACTAAATGGACAATCACTTTCAGATTGCAGTAAAAATGTCCGACACAGATGAAGACTTTCACACCTTCCTTCACACACTCTGCTTCTGCCATTTTTTCCACTGCGACAATGTTTTTCACACAGAGAAAGAGTTGTCCTGACCCAAACAGTTTCCTGGCCATTTAAACACAGTGGATCTTTTAAGGGGTCTTCTAAAATGAAATTTCTACTACAATCTTTTAAAGTACACCAAAGTTTGTTGCGAGAAGAAAATAGACCTAAACTGCTTAGAATCCCATCTAAGTGCATAAATCCTTCTGCTGCATTGTTGACAAGTTTGACGACATGACTTATATTTAATGTTGAGCCGTTGTAAGATTGTTTTCTAGACATTTTCCAAGTTTTTCTTCAATCAACGTTACCTAAGATCTTGGAAGATTCTGTTGAATATAAAAAAAAATAAGATTTAAAAAATTCAGACAGCTTTTTCTGCTCCTAATAACTAGTCTCCATATTTATAAAGTGGGTGTTGTCATTGATTAAATTTGTATCTATTTAAAAATAAACTAAAAATCACGGAATTATTTAAATGTAAAGAAAACATTGGAACTGAGTTGTTATAGCATTGGTTGATCCGCGCCACCGCTCCCTTGGGTGCAATATGAAAGTTTGTTAGTCACCCTCCGTAATAGCTCACGTTAAATAAACATTGTTTGACATAAAGCGATGACAGCTACAGTTTGCACTGAAGAGCAAGGGCGTTGATGTCAGACTAAGGGACTAACGCATATTTTCATGAGAAAAAAATCTCATATGTTCGTATTTGTAAATTTAGAGGAATAAAAGGCTTATGGTTTGGAAATTCGCTGTTCATTTTAATTGTACGAAACAAATTAAAATTTATAGGAAAATTATTTTTACCGTTGTTGATAAGAGAAAATTTTGGGGCCCCAGCAATTGGGGTTTTTCTATTAAACTCGATAATCCGCCACTGTCAATGAGCTTTGACCTTACAACACACATTTCTTTACCTCTGAGATAAACCTTGCCATATCCTTTGTAGCTCCCACCTGCCGTCTAATTTCAGTTTTAATTCTCATTTAATTCGGCAAATAAAGCAACTATACTAACCTACCTTTCACTTTAACAAACTAATATTCCTAACAGGTTACTTCCCGCCTTTTAAAAACGTGTGTAAGCTATTAGATGGATCACTCATACAATCACATGTTTAAGTACAAAATGTTTTTCTAGCCTATTTTGATAAGATTCAGTGTTTTCTTTCCTGTAACTAATTGATAAACCGAATTGTGTGCCAGAAATAAAATTTTAGCGAGCATCCCTTTCCATTGATTGCTAGGGTTAGCTTATATAATGCTGGCTTTCTGAATGCTTGCGAATGAGAACTAATTCACAGTGTAGACCCTATACAGTATTATTTTATATTTTTTGTTACCACAGCGTATCATGATCTGATGAAATAACTTTTAATTGCTGGCTGTTTTTAAAAGATGGATAAATCATTTATCACAATACGGCTGCTGTTTGTACTTTTTAATGCTAAAGACAACTCATTTTATTGTCATAAGCAATTGCCGTTCCCGACTATGTTATTTTTAGTGAGATTGGCTTTATATAAACAATGTCTAGGTAGGAGGTGGTGACAGTTGGTATTTATACTTAAGTGTGTGCACGTGTTAAATATTTTAAAAAAAAAAATTGAAGCTTGTGATGCAAACATTAAAACTTGAGTTTTTATAGTGAAAACCAACAATTAGGCAGTAGCCTAAATTTGGGGGTCCCTGACTGCAGCCCTCTCAGCCACACCCCCCCCCCCCCCCCTTAATCCGCTATTGGCTGGAGGTGGGGCAAGTTGACACAAGGCAAAATGTAGCAAAGCTACTACACTGCAATCTAGTAACCACACTTTTATTAAACAGAAATCAATTAGTAGTAATGCTTTCTATTACAATAGCTACAACTTATGACATTACTTGTTAAAATTATCTGTAATTTGTTTTTTTTATATAAAACTTGCCCGGCCTATGATCTTGTCGGCCTTTTAGAAGTCTGCCCTATTTTTTGTCTGCATTTCTTCTTGTCGGCCTTTGGATGTCGGCCTTTGTCCATGCCGGCCATTTTACTGTATCGGCCTTTTTTCCGAATCCCATCATAAATAATATTATTTCAAGCTCAGTTGCTGACACTCCAATAAAATTTCTAAAAAAATGGATGTTCTCTACTTTTTAAACAATTTATTGTTGAGTTGTATTTTAAGCACCATGGCTACACAATTTACTTTAAAATAATTAATAAAGTTGCATGCCCAGGGTAGTATCTACGTGTTTTTTTTTAACTTGATCACTATTTATATTATTTATCTATAGGCAAAAATTGGCCTATCTAGCAGTTGCTCCAAGTCAAAGGTCATGTTTGTTTTAAAAATTTAAAACATGTTCCTACTAATTAATACTAATATAAATAGTGAGTCAATAGTTAGTAGTATTAGCTAGCTATTATGAGTAGGGCCTACTATTTATTAATATTTAATAATATTATGTATTTATTTAAACTAAAACAAAATAATAGCAATACATTACTAATTAATACACTAAACTTTAGTCTAGAGTACCAGTAACTCACACTCACAGTAGAGTAGTAGTAGTAATACTAACTAGTAGACACTGAGTAGACAGTAAATTCACAATTGAGTAAAAAGTAGGTCTACGACTGCCTAAGAAGAGTAATAATATAATATAATATATAATAATAATTTAATAAATCATAGGCCTACACACTTAGATTGCTAACTTTTAATAAAGATATTTAAAAAAAAAACATCTTGTCTCGAGGGTTGTAGATTTAGATTCTATCGCAATACTTAGAATTTGTTATGACTACTAAATCTAGATCTACTTCTAAGAATCTGATCAGGGTAAAACCTTAGTTTAGCGTCGGAAATTATTGGGTAATGTTTGTTGAGTTTCGGTAACTAAAGTTACGGTAAACGGTAGTTAATTTGACCATTGAAATATAAATAAAGTGAAAGTCGATTGTAGTAAACTAATGTTTTAATTTTTTAAGTTTAATCGACAAAAGGAAACAGGAATAAATATAATAGTAGATTTAAATTAGTAGATCTAAAAATTGAAAAAAATATAGATCTATATAAATATAAATAATAAAGTCAAATGTAATAATTTGTTTAATATTTTTGGCTTGCAGCGAATTTGCATTAATTAATTAGATCTAGATCTAGAATCTAGCTAGCTGCTAGGCCAAGTAAAAAAATCTAGATTACGAAAATAGTAAAAATGATTACAAAAATAGTAAAAGTGACTAGAATTGTAGAAACAGGGTTCGTACCCTATTTTGAAAATGAAACCAGACCTTTGTAACCACACCATTATGTGTGCTTATAGCTGAGAAACTTTTGTCTGCTATTAAAAACTACCGGTATTCCCCCCCCCCCCCCCCCCCCACACACACAACAAGAGACGGTGGAGGGGTCACTGTGAGGTCACAGTAGCCCTGTCTAATACTGTAACTTTTATTACCCCTTCCGCCACCCTCCTCAGCCAAACAGCACCAACTACGTACTTGGGGTCACGGTGAATTCATACAAGTTTAGATATCAGTGACCTTAGTTACTAGGAGGGGCGGGTTAGTCTAGCCCTAATCGGCAGCCTCTGCAAAGATTTCATAAACAGTAAGGAGAGTGAATTGAAAATACAGGTAGTTAAATTATACATAGACTACCACTTATAGCTTCCCTCATAATTTTTTTTTATAAGACTACCTGCCTGCATCCTCAGACAAACTTAAGAAATAATAGCGGGTAAAAAAAAAAGAGGTCAAGATTTGTATGGCCACTCTTCCCCCCCCCCCCCTCCCCAATGACATAGTAACTGAGAAATCGGGTTTCTTCTGCGATCCAGCAAAAAACGTCATACGTGTACCACAGTGTAGACCCGTCCAGACTTTTAAAAAGTCTGAAATTCACTTTTCTAAATTCAAGACTTTTTCCAGATAGCGTACGAACCGTGCTAAACAATATTTAGTAGCAGAAATATTTAGCTGAAATACTTAAAAATAACTAGTTATACAAAATAATTAATAAAACAGTATTTAACACGCAATTAAAATAAATATATCAAAATTTTAAACATTCTGTATAAAAAAATAAAAGATGACACCAAATAAAGTATGGTTTACAGTATTTCCGGTGGATTCCGGAACGGTGTGACAGACTTGTCATTGTTTTCCTGTTTTTTTTTTTACTGCTATACGATTCCGGAATAATAACCGCCGCTAAACCAAGGTTTTACCCTGATGAGTACCCGTGAATCTAGACAAATATAGATCTCTAGGCCTACATAGTTTTACATACTATAACTATTAGTAGTACTAGTAGTTAGTTTCAGTTTCAGTTTCTTGCGGTCATACTAACAGCAGAAAAGTAACTTAAAGAATGTAGTTTTAAAACAAACCCACATATTAAATCCAACGAATAGGTCCCTTATTAAAGCCTTATTTTATTTACTTTTAATTACACTACTTATATAGTATATAGGGAATATATATATATATATATATATATATATATATATATATATATATATATATATATATATATATATATAGGGAATATATATATTCAATAAGTAACCACACTTTTATTAAACAGAAATCAATTAGTAGTAATGCTTTCTATTACAATAGCTACAACTTATGACATTACTTGTTAAAATTATCTGTAATTTGTTTTTTTTTTATATAAAACTTGCCCGGCCTATGATCTTGTCGGCCTTTTAGAAGTCTGCCCTATTTTTTGTCTGCATTTCTTCTTGTCGGCCTTTGGATGTCGGCCTTTGTCCATGCCGGCCATTTTACTGTATCGGCCTTTTTTCCGGATCCCATCATAAATAATATTATTTCAAGCTCAGTTGCTGACACTCCAATAAAATTTCTAAAAAAAATGGATGTTCTCTACTTTTTAAACAATTTATTGTTGAGTTGTATTTTAAGCACCATGGCTACACAATTTACTTTAAAATAATTAATAAAGTTGCATGCCCAGGGTAGTATCTACCTGTTTCAATTTAATGAACAATTATAATACTCCAAGCTTATCCGTAAAATACCTACAACATTTGCACTTGATCAATCCCCGCTAATTATGTAATTATTTTTTTTTCCCAACACCAAAAAAAAGTAATAAAAAGTAAATTCTTTTCCACTAATGAAATGGTTTTATAAAGGGAAGTAATTGTGTTTTCCTAATTTATCAAAGAGAAGTAAGTGCTATAGGACTAAATAAAGACATAATTAGAATTTTTGTAAAAGATGATATTTTTTTTAAAACTCGTGTTTAATGAACATGCCGAAAATTATTACTTTCAGTTTGATAAATGAAAATTATTTCCCAAAACTTTCAATATTAATTTTTTAACTCATAAATTTAGACCGTAAGGACTTTAATTATCTAACACTTAAATCCATGGAAGTATGTCAACGACAAACATATGTATTTTTACATACAGAATTGAGCTTTATATATTAGATATATATATATTCTTTACGTTTTTGGTGTTGTTAATTATGGTATATGTGTTTGAGTGCTGTCATTGTCGAGTCGTCTACGATAAATCAAGTCTAGTACGTGTTCCGTGAACTGTACCTTGTCGTGTTTTGCTTTTATTCTGCTGTTCCACATAGTCTGTCTATATATAGCTACCGTCCTTGCTTTTTGCTCTTTAGGCCCGTCCTATCTCTTTGTATTGGGATTTTGTTTAGAGTTATGACTATATCGATATTGTAGGTCTCGTTTTTTATTATTTTGTTTTCTAGCGTCTTTTTCATGTTTTGTATGGTGGGGCATTCTAAATAGATGTGCGTTTCGGTTTCGGGTGTGTTTTGTCTGCATAGTGGGCAAAATGGTTTCTGTTGTTTTGCTAGGGGTGTTGAATTATAGATGAGTCTGTAAGTTATTTCCCTGGCTTTGGGTGTGATGGTTTTGAGGTGTAGGTTTCTGAAGGTGTCCATTGTGTCTGTTAGAGCGTATTTCCTACACCATTGAATTCTGTTGTATAGTGGAGTTGAGAGCTTTTGCACTAACTTTTTGTAAATGTTTTGTGACTTTTTGTGAACAAGTTTTTCGTTGTTTTTTAATATTTGTAAACATTCTGTGTAAAAGGGACTGTGTTTTTCTCCTATGTAATGTGGAGTTGTATTATTGATTTTTGTAAGTTTGTTTAGCTGAATGCCTATATAGTAGTGAGCTAGAGGGTGAAAGTTTGGTTGGCTAATTATTCTGCTAATGTGTGTTAGTCTAAATGTATTGATTTTGGTCTGTATATCGTGCAGGTTTATTCCTCCATGAAGTTTGTTTTGTACTAAAGTGTTGTGGCTAATGTTTGAAATTGTGGTCTGAAATATGTACTCTCTAATGATTTTATTCAGATGTTTAATTGTTGGCTTTGGGATTGTTTTAGCCGTGGCTATATAGGTGATTTTGGGGATGAC